GACGAACGGCGGCGGCGGCGGCGGCTCGCCAGGGGTCTCGGAACGCTGGCCTGGCGTGTGAAGGTCCGTACCGTCGCGCCGGATCCTCAACTCGCAGGCAGCCTGCTACTTGCCTGGGCGGGTTTCGTGGGAAGGTCGACTGCCGTCGCCGAGGACCACACAACACCTTCTCCTCGCCCTCACCACTGTCCCCGGCGCTGCTGCTCGTGCAAACCAATTCTCCCAGGACCTCCATCTACCGCGGGAGCGACCAGGTACCAGCGTGCGTGCACATCGGTCGCAAGTGGAGTAGTAGATGATGTTCTTGGCGGGAGTAAGAGTGGTTAGGAGAGTAAATTAACGGCTATCACATTGTTAACCGCTGCGCACGTGTGGGCCAGGCACAGGTGGACGGGGCGGTACAGGAGGCGCACCTGTGGGACAACACGTGCCGTGCGAAGGCCACAGAAGCGCAAAGGCGCCAAGGTGATTAGCCCCGCCATCAGCCAATCCTGATTCCTGATGTGCATCTAATAATCTCTCTGAATAGTGTTTATAATAAAGTTTGAGACGGCGATTACCGCGGCGTGGCGGGAGGGATTTGAGAGCGGGTGCTTTAGGTGTGTGCTGGGCCGGGATTGAGCGGGATTTCTCTTGTTGGATCTTTTCTGTACGGGACGGGGGATCCTGTTTTGATGGGACGCCGCCGACTCAGGAAAGGATAAAGCATTCAGCATCCCTGCGACCACCAAACCATGATGACCACTGGAGACCCACACACCACTCGCGCATAGTAGTTCCCGGATCTTCTGCAGAGCCAGGGGCCTCCCTTTGACCGTGCAGTTACTGGTAGGTGTTAGGCACGCCGATATGCCTGTTTTGTTTCTCCACCAACTGCCTAAACGACGGGGTAAATCTGCTTAGTTACCGGGGTTTGCCAGGCGACGATGAAATGTTGGGTAGTAATCCCTTGGCGTCGGAATCATCCTGGCGCCTTGGGCGATCAAATGCAGCCTTGCCAGTTCAACTTGGCAGGGGTCAGTGGATGCAGCTTGCTTTTGCAATTTCTGATTTTTGGCTCATGCGTCTTTCTTCGACGCATAGGTTCCCGTTCTGTTTCAGCCGGCCCGGTGTTACGTGGACAGGATTTTGAATTTTTGAAAATGGAAATGCCTGGTCGTTGCAACGCTAGCTGGAGTGCCAACCGCCCATATTTCGCCCGCAGCGACGACGTGTTTTCAGTTGATGTTCACGAGGCCTTGTTCCTGTTGGATAGGTTGTTAGTCACTGGCACTGCTGCGGTGCTGCTGCTGCTGCTGGGGGAGTGGCAGGCAAGGCTTCCAATCGTTTGCAGCTGCCATAAGTGGAAAGTTTTTATTTCTATTTTTGATTCATTGAAATTGAATTTAGAAGTGTCTACTCCCTCAGTCCCACAAACAATGGCAAACAAGGTTTCCAATTGTTTGCAGCATGCTCTAAATCTGACTGCAGCGTAAACTAGTGCTATAACTTCTCTCACAATGAATTGCTGCACTTGGTTGCTGAATTGCTGTTGCAGCTATTGTGTATGGAGAAGATCACAAGATGACAATAGGAGTTTAGAGTAGAAGGTGAAAACAATTTGAAAATTTTTGTTGTTAAACTTCATGTGGGCTTACCACAGATTTTACACTTGTACCATGACTGCTGTTTTGAAATAAGATACAAAACAATACTCCCTCCATACTAAAAAAAATGAAGTCGTTTTGGACAAGACTTGGGTTAAAACATTGGGAATATAAATCATGGATAACTTTTAAGTTGTTGAGTTTGGAAATGTGAAAACCATATGTATAGAGTTGTCTTGAAAATACTTTCACAAAAATTTACATATATCGCTTTTGATAAATATCTTTATAAAAATAAGTAGTCAAAGTTATGCTTTCGAGACCGTGTCGTCATTGTCCAAAAACGACTTCATTTTTTAGTATGGAGGAGTACAATTTAAGCTGAAGTTGAATGCAACGCTAGTTGTTCGGAAGCCATTTTGACTAGATTTTAAGCACGCGCCTTTTGTTTATTACCATATTGAAAAAAAAAGAAAGGTTTTGTCATTGCACTAGACATACACTACATGGTTCTCTTGCTCTTAATTATGCCTACTTGGTACAGTATTTTTTTTAAAAAATGAAGTTGCTAGTTTGCATTCATGGATGGCAACATTTGGTCCTGTGAGTATTTGCTCAATTAGGTGCTAAGGCTCTATATATGAATAAAAAATGTGAAGTACTCCTCCGCTCCAAACTATAGTCACTTTAGCTTCAGCTTCTAAGTAAAAATTATATCTAAATTTGATCAAAGTTTTAGAAACATATATTAACATTTATAATACCAAATGAATTCACTACCAAGAAATTTCATAGTGGATTTAATGAAACTAACGTGTTGTTGTAGATGTTAGTGCATTATTCTATAAAACTTGGTCAAACTAAAGAAATTTGACTTAGGAGTTAGGACAAACAAATTGGAATAGAGGGAGTTCATACTTTTCAACTTTGCAACTGTGTATTTTCTGTTCTCTTTTCGTTCTAATTAACTAACTGTGGTTTCTCATGTCTACTCTGTTTATATCCATTATCCTGCCAACTATATGCGGATTTTCTGCAGTTTATTTGGGGTACGAACAGTTACCTCTATCTTTTTGTTTCTAACTATACATTTTTAGCATATTGTTAAGTAGAAGCTTAAAATACCTGTGGTACAGGTGGCTACGACAAAGAAGATAAGGCTGCTAGGGCATATGATATTGCAGCTCTGAAGTATTGGGGTGATAATGCTACTACTAACTTCCCCTGTAAGTGTTGTACTTCTCTTCGTTTCTGAACAGTCAACACATCAGTTTTCCAGTGTTATGAAGGTGAGTTGTGTATCAATAAATTACAAAGCAACCATCACGGTTTCAGTTTGGATATTGTACATAATAAGGCATCCTGGTGCTATGTCAAGAATATACAGGCATGCATTGAAAACTATTAACATTTCACCTTTTCTTTTACAGAAAAGGAGCATAAAATTTCTTGTTTCAGCCTGCAGGTCATAAATTTCTTGTTTGCACTCTGAAAATCAACCCAGTTGTTTAGCAACATTATGATTATATACCATCTAATTTACCAAAATCAGATTCCTACACCAATACTTGTTCCATTTTGAACTTAATATGTTGGCTGTGAATTGGGCATATACATATATCATATGTTCTTTTCTCTTTATATAACACAAACAAAACTTTATAGATGTACTCACATCTTTGCTCATGACATATTGACTGAAAACGGAGCACTCTTTCCAGAGAGAGAACTACATCAGAGAGATTCAGGATATGCAGAACATGAACAGGCGTGATGTTGTAGCCCTCACTGAGGAGGTATTTTTATAACTTCGTACTACTGCAACTACGTGATGTCCATGGCTGCTTCCATGCGTGTTTACGTATTCAACGTGTCAATCTTCAGGAAGAGCAGTGGCTTTTCTAGAGGAGCATCAATCTACAGAGGAGTAACAAGGTAAGTTTCAGTTACAGGAGGCCATCATTGATCGATATATTTTTGGCAGTTGTTTTCACTTGATTTGTTTTTGTCAGGCACCACCAACATGGACGCTGGCAGGCAAGAATCGGCCGTGTTGCAGGAACAAGGATCTGTATCTTGGGACTTTCGGTAAGGGCCTGTAATTTTGATGTCGCATACCATAGATCCTCAATGAATTTAGCCTCTCTGTTTTTTTAATCAGAGCATGGCATGGAAGTACCCTTACGGACTTATGTATAGTATAGCAGTCTTGTAGCTTTCTTGAAAATAAACGGCACATGTTTCATTGTGCAAATGCAATGGTTATTTTATGGAGTGATTTGGTCTTGTCATGACTCATCTGGACTAATACCATAAATCCTGCTCCTTGCAGCAACCGAACAAGAGGCTGCAGAGGCGTACGACATCGCGGCACTGAAGTTCAGGGCGAGAACGCCGTGACCAACTTCGAGCCCAGCCGGTACAACCTGCTAGCAGTCGCTCAACGAGAAATCCCCATCCTCGGGAAGAAGCTGATTCAGAAGCCAGCTCCGGAGGCAGAAGACCAGGCCGCTCTGAGCGCTCCTTCATTCTCCCAGTCCCAGCAGTCGAGCAACAGCCTGCCACCGTATTTCCTCACCAACCTCCTGCAGCCGCTGCCGTCTCAGCCCTCGCTAGCTCAGCCTCTGCCGAGCTACAACAACTTGGGGTTCGGGGAGCCCAGCTTCTACCGGCCCTGGCCCTGGCCCTGCCCCTGGGGTAACCCAGAGCAGAAGGTGCAGCTTGGCAGCAAGCTGGAAATCGTCAACGGTCTCATGCAGCTGCCCAACTCTGCTGTTAACTGACAGTGCTTATCTGAAATGCCGGTGTTTTGCGTGGCAACTGCGAGGAGGAACTGATGTTTTGCTTGGGTGGCTTGGGGGTAGGTTCATGGAACTGATAACCTGAAGATAGCGGGGTATAACATACATTGTGCCGTTTGTTTGTCGTTTTTTGGTGTACAAAGGCATCCAAGAGTCCAGTTATGCTAGCTAGATGCTGTATTGCTGTTAGCGGAAACAACACTGGGGGTGTGGTCTACCGGAATGGCTTTGAGGCATTCACCTCAGACGAAGTGCTAGATTGTTTTATTTTAATCAATGGGAAACATCACTGGGTGACTGCGTGTGCGGTCTCTCACGGAATGGCTTTAAGGCATTCAGCTCAGATGAAATTAACAATGGGTCATTTTCGAACATGAAACGTTAGCACATTGTCCTAGAGCCTGGTTGACATCTAAAATTTGTCATGCTAAAGATTTGACAAGCCAAAAGTTAGGTTAAAAATATTGACATATGTTTGACAAGTCAAATGTAAGAGTTTTGATAAGTTTTGTAGCAAACCAAATACTAGTCAAAATTATGGCTTGCCAAATGATAAATTTTAGAGGCGAACGAATCAGGCCCCTGATGTTCCACTGTCAGTTACCAATAGGTATTGAGAAAATTGATACGGATGACAATACCTGTAGTGGCATGCTAGAGGCTGCACCTTCTTCGGTGGCAGATCGAAATTCTAAGAATTTCTTTAATTTATTTTATTATTACTCTCCTAACACTACATGTGACATCACCACGTGACTCATGCGACACTCCTAAACTTTAGCACCTGGATTTAAACATTAAACACCATCATAGTTGTAGAGCACATCGCCTGCATCCCATGATGATGCGCGCGCCCTGGATTTAAACGAGCACATCGCCTGCATCCCATGATGATGCTCGCCCGCCGATAGCCCCTGGTTTTTCTTTGATCCCGTCAGTATGCCAGTTGCCATCGAAGAACGCAGCTAGCAATCCAGTTCAGATCACCGCCCGCACCCAAACTGGGCGCGCTAGCCATGGGCAATGATTTTGTGGTGCCAGGTTACGCTAACGGCTCTGGCTGCCGTTAGGTCACGGCCAGACCAGATTCACACACCACCATCACCATGGGCCCATGGCTGCACCAGGAAATGAACTCCAACTAGCATTCAATATTTCGTCATCATAGATTATAAACGTCAAAACAAACGATGTTCAGGTATCAAGTATTCATGGACAACAAATTTACTGTGTCGAAACACTGAGTTCAAATTCACTCTTTGATGGTACTCGCCAGAAATTTATTCTGCTTGGAGCAAGCACATTGCTGGCAAATGACACAAGAAACTAGTCCCTACTCAACACAGCAAAATGTGAAATGACATAACCGGGAAGAGTCATCTTTACGCCTTCACCTGAGGAGGAGCATCGCCTTGGAGAGCGGGGATCAGATTTGACAGCATCCAGTGTCTTGAAGAACTCCTCAGGAAGAGCAACAGGCTGGTGCTGAGGAACATGCTTAGGAATTGGGGTGTCGTCTTCGATCACCTCACACTCATAGTCATCAGGAACACCCCACGGATCCCATTCTGCCATTCATTCAAACACAGAATCACATTAAAACAAACCGAAGCACTTTGCATCAGCCAACAAATACATGCAAAAATATATGCTGGAATTGAAAGCCTAGAATATCAGTTTGCAGACAAGCGGCATTGCAATATAGCATCAGACACGTGTTCATAATCAAGGAATAGATGAATAGATGAGAAGTAAACCAGTGTAAGTGTTGGCCACCCAGCGTTATAGTAACAATAACTTGCAAGTGATAAGTTGAAGGTATCCTCAAACCCATGCACTCAACAGAATTTTTGAAACTAAAAAGTCTGTTCTTCAATTATCACACTGATACATAAAATTAAAGTTCTGCAGCTACATGTGCATGGCAAAGCATATACGAGCGCACTGTTGAAGCAGAAGGTATTCACAGTGTATTGCTATTACCAGCTTGATCTGCATTCTTGTTAATGCTAAAAAACTAAAAGCAGAATAAGAAATAAGATTAAAGGGCACGTAAAACATTGGGATTTATCTCAGTTATACTCTGCTAACTGAGACAAACAGACTAACTAAACCCATTACATTTTTTTCTCAAAAGATATGAACATCGAAGACTGTCACCTTCATCAGAACTACCAGTCTACCACAAAATAAGAGGTTAAATGTTCCACAATAAATTTAGTGGTATAGTACAAAGGATACAGTGTGATATATCAGAACCTAAGACATCAGTTTAATACTCTGATACACTGCTCCTAATGGGAGGAAACAGGCAGTATAGGTGGCCATTTCCAGATGCAGCACGCACCATGTGACCAGAGGCACACAAGATTCCAGTAGTATTTTCAAGTGCTGATTGCTGATCAGTCCATAAAAGTTCAATATCATTTTTCCAGAGCCATAGACTAATGAACAATATCAGGAAGGGTTCTAGCCTTCTAGGGATCATAAGGTAACCTCACACCAACCTCCCATCTATCTACAATTCCAAAGGCTCCAAAAAATTTCAATCCTACCACAAACTATTATCAAACGATAGCATTTGTCCTACACGACCTAACCTATTACGTGTATTGTATTATCAATGTCCCCAAATCAGCGAAGCCACCTATCACATAAAACTTAAACATCAAATATATCAATTACACTAACTACTGCCTACGGATCAGAAAACCATAAAAATGGAATAAACTGTAGAGACAACGGGGGTGACGGGAAGGTAGCCAAGAATCACATACCAACCATTTTGGCGATGAGCTTGAGCTCGTCCTCGGCCTCCTCGATGAGCTCCTCGACCTGCCCGCATTCGATCCGGTCCTCGATGCGCTTCCAGTCGTCCTCCTCCTGGCAGATCTGGAGGCGGTGATTGGTGAAGGACTCAACGGCCTTGCGGTAGCCCTCGTCTTTGGGGACGGCCTCGATCTCCTTGAGCGTGCGCGTGTAGAGCCCGATGAGAACCTCCCGCGCGTTGGGCACCACCTCAAGGCCCACGATCCCCGTCGTCTCCTTCACGGCGCGCGCCGCCTCAGCGCCGCCAGGCCGCCCTGCCGGTCAGGATCCGCCGCAGAAACATCTCACCGTCGTCGCTTGCGGCGGTGGTGGTAGTGGCGTCTCTGTGCTGAGGTGCGGGGAGGAGTCGGGGAGACTCGAGGGCTGCTGGATTGGGGAGAGTTGGTGTGGTTGTGTGGGCTGGACTCGCGGTTGAGTGGGCTTTCATTCTCTTTCTTCGTTCAGGTGGCGTGGGCTTTCTTTCTCTCGCTGCAATGTAGATTTAGAGCCTGTTTATTTCCACTAGAGATTGTGAAAAGCAGATTGTGGATTGTAAAAAACTTGGATTGTAAGAGCAACTCGAGTCTTTTTATATCTCTCTTATTTCTTATCTTAATTAATATATAAAGGAATATAGATTTTGGTAAAAAGATATCCTCCAATAACTTCTTTAATTAGATCTGCAAATAATGTTATCCTCTATTCTAGATTTCTCGCCGGTGAAAGGTGAAAAGCGGGACTGGCTTTCTAGAGCGCACACGAAATATAAAAAGTCTATTAGAGGGTAGAAAGATATAGAGTGATTTTTATTCAAATGATATCTAAACAATGATTTATAGAGTGGATTAAGAAAGACTCTTGGAGATGTTATAATACTTTGGATTGTAAAAAGCTATTGTTGTTTGGCATCGTGGATTGGGATGGTGGGATTGTTATCATTTGCTATGCAATGTCTAGAGTACTCCCGAACTTGCCTAAGTTTATATTCAGTTCTTTTATTTATTTTAGAGTGTTGTTTGTCGTTGCTTGAACTAAAAAATTAAAAATACAATTAATACATCATCTAAAAATAACGAAGTATGTAGCATAAAAACAATACATGATCCGATAAAGATGCTTCGGTTCGAATGTAACTTTCATCTTAATCACACAAGTCAAAATTTCTATCCCAATTAACTTTATTAAAAGGATCCTCCTCCATCTATTGTTTTAAAAAATGGCAATAGAACTAATATTGTTTACTATACCCCATAATAATGTATCTTCAAGGTGAAAACTAACAGAAAGTAGCAGTATTAGAAACTCTAGCTAAAACACGGTTCTTAATTACTACTTGCAATCTCATTTGGAGTGATGATTTCACTTTTTTATCTCTTTGCATAGATTTATGTTGCATCTCAAATTTTACATAAGCATAGACATTTGCATCATCTACCCATCCACATTTTTGTGGATTTTCCGTGCATATTTTGATGCATTTTTTTAATGAAAGCATGGGACGGGGCGGGGGCACTGGAGATGTTTTCGTATACCCCATTTTAGCAACAAAATATTGCAACTATTGGATATGCTCTAAGACCTTGTTTGTATAGCTTGCATGTTGTTATACTACAACTGAAACAAATAAGTTCCAAATTATAACCAGATCTTAACAGCCAACAATGATCTACTTCCCGCTAGCTTACATATTGTAACAGTCTGCAATGTGATCCGTGATGTTCAGACAAAGTAGCAGGGTCCAAGTGCATATATTGTAACAATATGCAAGCTGATCAACAACCTACAGACAAACAATCAGGGTCTAAGGCCAGTCCTAATTAGAGTTTTATTCTCATTTAAAGTTATGACATATCAACAAATTTGCTTAGCCGGCATGATATTGGTCATGTTCGTTTCTCTTATAATCCGTCTTTTTCAACTTGTTTTTTTTTTTCAGCGGAACAATGTTTTTCAAATTGGCATGATATTGTAAGAGAGAGAGAGAGAGTTTAATTAGAATGAAACACATCCATCATGTTATGAACACAATGCAACTTCCACTAAAAGTGATTTATTTTCATTCTCGCGTGCTTTCAAAGATCTGTGCGAGATGAGCAAATAACTGTTTGCAATTGCAAGGCTATATATTTGATGTGACGATTATAGCATCTTATAACAATTAAATGATATAGCTAGTTTATGAAACTGTGCATTGTAACGGACTGATTTTTTTTTCACTTGTAAAGCTGGGATTTGTAGCTTTAGTTTTGCTTCCTACTACCCAATACGTATTTTACACTTATCTCCAGCACGAACTTTGTATCAAACATATACGCTTTCTGCAAAACACGGTATATTCTTTTGGCCCGTTCGTTTCGCTGAAACCTAACTCATGCTGATGCTTATTTGTTGTGAGAAAAAACATTGTTCGCTCACCGTAGAGCGTGGTTTTAAATGCAATCATTAGTATTATTCGCACTAAAATTTGTGTGCGTGGTTTTTAAATGCAATCATTAGTATTATTCGCACTAAAATTTCTGCCACACTCGGAATCAGAGGCTGAGCTATAGTCATCACTGGGTGCGGCCACACCCACACCAAAATAGAAAAACAAAAGAAATGATCAATTTCTCACCATATTTGCACCTCATATTATATATCCTTACACCCACAAAGACAAGCGCAACCCCTCGGATCTGCTCTAGCTCCACTCCTGGATCCTCACGACTCTTTCCTTTCTGTATCCCGAGTTCATCAGCCAAGAAGTCTGCTGGAACACCAGCCAAGTAGGCGAAGCGAAGGATTACGTGAGTTACGGCGCAACCGATTACACAAGTCAACACAACTGAACCCATCTATCCTTGCACCTTTACTCGCACGTACAACGAAGATGATTAGTTCAGCTCAGCGACGGATAAACTTCAACGTGAGGTTCCAAAAATATGGCATAAACTGCCAGCAGCAGGACATCAGAATTTAAACGAGTAGGCTAATGCCTAATAACAAAGTCAACAACCTACTGATATTGACAGTTTTTCATTCCACTTCAGTTAAACCGTAGACAACTAGTAGCCCCATTTGGATTCTCCGTAAGGCACACCAAAGTTACTATTGGATCCCCTGCCAAGACAAAGCTTAATAACATCAGATCCGAATTGAAGAATCAAACAATAGTGTAACAATCGATACCATCTCATCTTGGTATTAGAATAGCAATGCATTGTGGGTTCTATTTAAAGTAAGTTCAGCTGTTCCAAATTATAGTCTGTTTTAGTTTTTCTTTAAGTCATTTTTTCTAACTTTAACCAAATTTATAGACAGATATATCAACAATTACAATATCAAAAAATGTATTATCAATACATATTTCAAGGTTGACTTATGAAACTAATTTAATGTGCTAGATGTTGATCCATTCTCCATTGAACTTGAACAAACTTAGACTAGTTTTGACTTTGGACAAAACTAAAACAACCTATAATATGATAGGTCAGTGTTGCTAATGCAACATATAATATGCCTCTAGGTCAAGTAACAACTGCAGATATATGTTGGTTAGCATTAGTGCCAGAAACACATATTCACATCCAATGCAAACTAGTGTGTGAGCATTATTGAGCATTATTAACTTCCTCAGATTCCAAAACAACTGACTACATTACAAATTTAAATGGAGCAATACTACAGTACCTCAAAAACCAAAATGAGCCACTTCCTCGTCTTCTCCTTCATCTTCATCTTCATCATCCTCAGAAAACCCAAAATCTTCCAATGCTTCCTCTTCTTCCTCCTCATCGGCATCATCCATCATGTCTGAAACAGAATTTTTGTCCTTCAAACCAGTGCTGAGAACCACAGTTTGTCCTTTGGATTTCATCATATCTTTCTGCAATTTTTCCATATTCTCCTTCCTGCGTTCTTCCTCCAATCTTTCCTTTTCAGCAATCCTCTTGTCAAGATCAGCCCTGAAACTTGTCAAATACCAATTAGTAACACAAGGTCATAGACAGGAAGATCAGTATTCTAACTGTTCATCTGAGGAGACAAGACCTGTAGGTTTCCATGTATTCCTTGGCGCTTGCTTCTATAGCTTCAAAAATGTATTGACTCCAGCACCAGAAATCGCAGATACTCCAACAGAGCGCAAATTCTTGTAGAATTCGTCAAGAACCAGAGAGAGGCTTCGTGTATATGTAGCGGAGTACGATTTGTCAGATTCCAAAGCTGTCTGAAACGCCTCAAAGTCTTGCATCCACTGGTCAGCAATGAAACAGGATGTCAGTGCCTGATAGTGAAAAGTCAAACTGGTTGAATGTACAGTACAATATAAGCACAAACTGGCTAATAAGGCAATTAACACTTTGAACAAAGCTTAAGGTCACAGACACAACCTCGGCAGGTTGAACCTATACATATTTCACAGTAAGAAAATTCTGCATGACATGCAAATTGTAACTTTGGGAAGATGTGAATGTATGGCAGGTGCAAATGCGATAGAATCAACAACAAAGTAAACAATACTGTCATAAATGGTATACATACTTCGATAGCGAACTCATGCTTGGCAACATCAACCTTGTTGAATGTCAGGACTAGAGGGAGGCGAGTTTTGTAGAGAATACTGCAGGCATAGAGCATGTTGCTCATAAAAGTAACAGGGTTTGTTGATCTGGGAGTGTCAACAACATATGCTACAACTGTTGGAAACGTCGATGCAAAAGCTTCAGTAATGATAGCTCCTGAAGCTGACCAAGTGAAGATCTCAATCTGACCAGGAGTGTCCACCAGTACATAATCCAATTGGTCCGCAGACGCCTTTCAATGACAGACACAACCTAAGAATGAATATTAAATGTCATATTAGCTGAAGAAAATAAAAGTAACAGGAATGTGCATTTCCCATATACCACCATAAGTACAATATAATTTTGCAGCAAAGTTAAATTATTCAGTGTGGCATCAGATAAATCCCGGTGCTCCTGTGTGGATTGAATTGAGCACAATTTCTATGGGAGCTTGCATGGAATGGTAAGAGTTGACATGACATCCAGAGTGTTTTATTAGCACGCTTAACCAAAGTAATCATTCACAAAGCACATCAGTTCTCTGTCTTTGATCCCAAATCCTGTTAGGGCATGTACAACGGCCGTGCTGGCCGTCGTCTCCGAAAGTGCTAATTTTGCAATATCCCCTCCATTCGCTACAGTAAATGAGGAGAGAGCGAAGCCGTCGCGTCGTGAGACGACGGCGAAGCGCCGTGTCCCGAACGGACTCGACAGCTGGCTTCAGCGTTAGGCAGAGCCGTCGTCTTGAGCCGACGCCATGGATCTTGCTGCGCTTGAGCGCGAGGTGAAAGAATCGCGCTAAAAATCGGGTTGTCTTCTCTGTCCTTCGCCCACGGCGGCGGCGACGGAGGGCGCAGCAGCGCAGCAGGCGGTGGGGCAAGGGCGGCGAGACGGGCGCCGACACTGGGGCGTATGCGGGCGAGCAGGCGCCGCACCGGGCGGGCGGGCGGAGCAGAGCCGCACAACGTGGACGAGGGCGTGGCGGACCACAGCCGCGCCGCCGAGGAAGAGCTGGGCCACGCGGCGGGGCAGGGCGAGCAGGGTGAATATGGCGGAGGTGAGCTTCGCAGGTGTCCATGGAAACTGAATCCAGAAATCCATCGAACAGTGCCATTCCCTAGCATCTCTTCTTCTATCGACTTGACCTGCATCTAGAAATCCATCAGTGGCTTTGTACCGACTTGGCTGTTCTCTCATGCATGGATGCATCGTCAAGTTTGGGATCCAGCAACCAGGTAATCTCCTTGTAAACGTCACATGTTTAGTTGCAACCCTGAAATTCGGCATGCACTGCAATTCTATTTTTTGGATAGCATTTGCAACTTTGCAAGATCCATGTGTTCTAAGATCATTATTTTCAGTTAGTGATGACTGAATGTTTTCAGTTACTGATAACTGGATGTTCTTTGCTACTAGCAGGGAAAATGAGGGAGCCATGGTGAGTTGTGTTTTGCTTCCAGCAAGAAAATTCTGATAGTTCTGTTAGTATAATCAGCTGATGGTCACTTGTTCTGATGGCAGCCTAGGAATTCACTTGTTCAGTTCCGATGGTTTCGATGGTTCAGCCTAGTAGTTCTGATGACAGACTATGAATTCACTTGTTCATTTCACTAAAAATTCTACTTGTAACGTATGTTATATTTGATTTATGAAATATATTTATTACATTATATATATAATACATGATTTATTTTGAAGGATTTGTTTTGCATCAATTAGCAACACAATGGTACATAGAAATGATATTCATGATTGATCATGGTTGCATGACAAGCATTAACGATTTGTAGACAGCTAAACAAGCTGTCTGTGGGTTATCTGAAGTATCTGCTTAGTATTCTGTTTGTAAATTCCAAGAACATACAGACATCAGCTGTCTCTCTGTTGTACATGCCCTTATGTTAGTAGAATCTTAACAGTGCACAACATTCTTGTTACTACTGTTGACACATTGGATCAGCAAATTGAAATATTAGCCCTGTGTAGAAGTGCAGCTCTAAAGCTATCTAGAATTCTAAATACTATTTTGCCAAGCTGCAGGACTAACAAATTATTATTCAACTCATAGGACACAGACAAAAAGAATTATTAGCATTCTCATATAAGCAAGCACTTGGTGCCTACACACAGCATACTGGGCACTACAGTGGCGTTAGCCAAACAAAAAAATACTGTTTGCAATGATCGCCATGTTTGAATTACACACTGTTTTTCACCTAACTAGTTGTTCAAAATTTCAAACCAGATGACCCCTTTTCCATTAGATTTGACTGGAAATATAGTTCACGAACAAAGACAGGCAAGCACAAGTGCTAAACAACCAGCATACCTGAAGACGAGATGGGGTACAAGTTTCCACCTCGAAAACTTGTGAACTTAGAACCGGAGAGATAACAGATAGAACTAATAAACAGACTAACAGGCCAGCAGTAATATGAAATGCTATCAAAACGACAGGAGTGATGGAAGAGATTATAGCAATCAACCTCATCGAACTTAGTGGCAAACAAGTTAAGCGAGGTGAGGATGCCACCATTGGGACCAAGGCTGTACTCCTTCATCACATCCTTATACCGCACAGTGTCACGAATATCAATGTTGGCCCCAAATGGCAGAGTCATCACCGCAGGGTCAAGGTTGACGACGTAGCCCCTCTTATTTGATCCCTGCGTATCGCATACCAGCCGGTGCATCAAGGTCGTCTTCCCCGTCCCTGAACAAGGGGACAGAACAAAACTGTCAGCTCCCAGGTCGGTTTTTGGAGATTCATGCTACTGAATGTAATTAAACAGCGGGCGAGCGAAATCGACGCACCGGCCATGCCGATGACGATGATGATCACAGGATTCTTCTTGAAATTGGTGCGCCCCGGGCCGATAGAGAGGCTACCGATGGAGTCCGCGAGCTCCTCACCCTTCCCGCTCCCCTCCTCTGCCTTCCCCTTCCCCTTCGTGTCCGTCTGCACATGCTCCACAGCAAGGGCGCAGAACAGTCACTACCATGGCCCTAAACCCAAATTTGAGGAAAGAAAAAATCCGAAAGGGGAGGGTGGCGGCGGCGGCGGCGTGCCTGGTCCTCGAGGTCCATCTGCGTGGGCTTGCTCGAGGCGGCCGGCTCCGAGTCGACGTCCATCGGCGGTGCGGTGGCTTAGTGGAAACGGTGGTCGACAACCGGCGGGAGGAGAGGTGTAGCCGCTAAACCCTAGGCTTCACCGGGGGTCTGCTCGGACGACCGCGGAGTCTGCGGAGACGACGAACAGGAGGAAAGGGAATGAACAAGAGAGGATGGTGGGAGCCAGGATGTGTTGGGCTGTAGCCTGATGTGGCTTCGAGTTGTTTCCTGACTTACCGACTTAGGACAGTGGGCTAACCGCCGTGTGGGTTAGGCCCATGCCTCTACGAGATTGTTTGTGTGGGCTGATGCAGCCCATGCTACGGCTGCTGGTATTAGGCTATTTCGAGTTTCATTTCGCGGTTTTTAAACTCTACCTCTGTTCTCATAGCATAGGCAATGGCCTTACCTTGGCGGCAAAAAGATTTGCAAAAATTCTACATTACACTGTCATCAAGTGCTCCTCAGATAACCAAAACCTGGTCACTCTCCTCATTCCTCAATTCAAAGTCAGGTCACAATAATATCACATTGGAGATTAGTACCTCTGATAGAAGATTTCAAATCTCTCAACACAGCAGTGGATTGCAGGATATTCAAAATGCCAAGAAGCCAGAACTGCACCCTCACTCATTAGCACATCAGGCAAAAAAAATGATACAAGGCCCTATACTTCCTTCACATGTCCAAACCCCTGCACACCCCTAGATGCCCAGTGCAACAGGCCCTCTCTAATGTACCCTGGATCCCCTTGGACCTAATTCATGTATGTTGTACTTGATGTTTATAATGCTTAATGAAGTTCCTTAACAAAAAATAGATGTTTGAAATGATCAATGAAACAAGATCTTCCATGCATAGTTTCATTTAGTTCCATAAGGTAGCCAAAACATTTAGTTACAATGCACGAGATTGAGATAGTCAGATGAAATAAAACTCTCTATCCCTTTGTGCTAGTTTCAGTGTGTTTTATAGTGGTAGAACATTATACACCTAGTTTCATCCTATTGAAATCCATCTCATCTCTCTACATAAATTTCTCGCATGTCAATATTTTTGTGTATGTGATATCTTATCTAATGAGATTGAAACCTCTACAAAACCACCACTAAGAATAGCCTAAAAGTTAACGAGACGATTGACCGTATGTACCATCGGAAAATTCATTGTGATTCCTATACTAGCTTTTAAACTTTTTTCTGCCCCCGTGCAACTTTCGTCAATAACTATTAACTTTCTAACAGGGTATCAGAGGGAAGGAATAAATTAAAGGCTAGTATAGTATAGAAGGTAGTGGAACCTTTGCCATGATAGCTCCAGAACAAATAAATTCATAATATTGTCACATATAATCAGATAAATACAAAATTTATATGAAAATTGTAGAGATCAATAAGATCTAAATCTTTGTAGTTCACGACATTTTCATTTCAGATCGTTTAAGAGCAGTGGTGGATCCAGAAACGGACCAAGAGGGGGGGGCTAAATAATAGAAGACTTAAAATGGTACTAGCAAAGTAGTCATAAACTAATAGATTTTACAAAGAACATAAATGATGATATGGATTCAAAGTGCTCAAAATATCAATAAGAATAGAAAGGGGGTGGGTTGTCAGCTTGGTTGGGCTGTGGAGAGGGCTGTTGGGCCAGGTTTGAAGACATGCTCCTTGGTTTTTCGGGCAGCCCCACCAGCCAACCCCCCCCCACTCTCCTCCCCCCCCCTGTTTAGGAGCGCACTCACATATTATGAAATTCAATTTTTAAAATTTTCAAATGATTTCGGATGCAAATACACCGTATGTCAAAGTTCTAGTGCTTTACGAGATCTAAAACTTTGTAGTTGAAAATGTCTCGTTAACATAATTTAGAAGCCAAAATATTTAATATAAGATTTTTAATGTGTCGTTTAGTTTTTAGGCAATTCCTCTATACCACTCACGGAGTTAACAGATGGAAGTGGCATCATGAGGAAGAAAATTTAAAAGCTAGTATAAGAGTCGCAACATAAACTTTTTAATAATTTGTCTCGGTTAATATACAGTGACCGCACATAACGGTGTCCGTCACTTTAACCTCAACAAAAGTGGCGGGCTTTCGTCTTACACCCATCACTTTTTACACAAGTGATGATGGGTGGCTGTCCGTTTTCTTTATTGATCCTTTTAGACGGCCTACGGCCACATACTGTGTACGTGTAGGATGACTATCGCTTCATGAGTTAACGGCGTACGCCGGTCATTATTTAGCTGGTATTTTTTTCGAGATCATATCCTATGGCATATTTTTCATTAAGAAGAAGTAGAGTGTTACAAGTCACATAGGACTCACAGGTAATCCAAAGATTACCACACAGTCCGAAAAATAAAAACGAGCACCAAGAGAAAACAGGGCGGGGGGGGGACCTCAGCCTCAAGACCCTATCAGACTGAGACTATGAAAGAATGACAACAACATATTGGTAGCCTAAAGTGCAGTCAAACCGCGATGGCGACGAGGCGAGCTTCCAATAGCAAAGGCGGCAAAGCATCTGCCATAGAAAGGACCAATCGGCTCGGCGGCCAAGCATATGCCAAGGAAGCTGATACGACGTCAGCGGCAAAGAAGGACCACACGTCCTCGGCAGCAAAGCATCCACCAAAGAAGCCGATACGACAACAGCGGCAAATATCCACGAGAGAGGAACCACGGCGGCCAAGCATCCGCCGGAAAGAGACGCGCATTGGTAGCGGCAAAATATTCGCTACCACTGCATCAAGCGAACCAGCAAAATGCAGCGGCAAAGTATCCGCTCAGCGAAAACACACCAGCAGCAAAGTATCCGCCAGAGAAGCGACAAGGGAAGCGCCAAGCATCGCCGAAGAAGCGACCACACTATAGGACAGACACAGGCGTTGAAGGACATGAGGCGTGCACAGGCACAGCCAAAAAGATCCATCGCCAACCGGATGAACTGCAGGAGCACTAACGACACCGACGACCATGCGCAACACCGAGGAGGAAGGCAACCCCGCGCGCGCCATGACATGGAACTTCAGAGGCAACGCCTCCAAGGAGGATTGCGACGCAGATAGCGCCGCCACTGTCTGCCCAGAAGGAGCTAGGTTTTCACCTAGAAGATCTAGGCCGGCAGGAGAGGGAGGTGCAACGACATATGCCTTCAAGAAGGAAAACGGCGCCCCAAGGGCATCACCATCGTTGGCCAAACAGCTAGGCCTTCGCCTAGCACCACACCACCAAGACGCAGACCACGAGCAGGAGTGCAGTGGCCAGCGCAGCCACGAGACGGTCACGAGCCAGACAGCCGGCACGCAGAGGCGGTGGGGGGGGGAGCGCGAGCCGGCCGTCGCCCAGGGCCGACCACCAGTTGCGCAGACGCCAAGCCCTGCCATGCATTCGACCCGCCCAGCCACCGGGAGCCCGGGTGAGCCTGACGGCCGCCGCCGTCGCCCCGGCTACAGCCGAGCGCTGGCGCTGGGAAGCGCACACGAGGTAGCCGCCGCCCTAACCGCCATGGCCAAGAACCCGCCGCCAAGTCTCTCCAAGGCGCAGGAAGGCGTGGGAGGTTAGATCCGGCACCGGGAATAATAGATCGCGTGGAGGCATGGCCGGATCTGGCCTCCAGTGACCGGCAGCAAGCACACTGGCAGTGGAGAAGTCGATGGGGTCGAAGCTGGAGGGGTGGATATAGAGGGGCGGGGGAAAGAGAACGAGGTGCGGACGGCCGCCCCTTTTGAAGAGCCGCCGTGTCCGCCGCCGCCATTCACCTGAGAGCGGCGGCGGCGGCCAGGGAGCAACCGGCGGTGGGGAGGAGTTGCGGTAGAGGCCAGACGCCCCCAAGTCGCCTCACGAAGGAGACGACCCGGGGTCGGGGAAGGGAAAGCCGATCAACTCTTTACTCCTTATTGATTATGCTTTGCCGGCCGTACTCATGCATGAGTAGTGCTATTTAGCTAGTCTTATCTTTACCTATAAAAGAAATTTAGCAGGTCTTATGCCGTGTAATACCTCTTAGGATTAATAAAGTCATTATAGATGTATCGATGTTCATGAGCAATATAAAACTCATTGTACCGAGTTAAGGACCGACTACCCACGAGGCCACGACGTGAGAGAGAGAGAGAGAGCACCGGGTCCCACCATTGTGCGGGACGATGACTTCTAGGCCGCGTTTAGTTCCACAGGATTCCAGAATTTGACACTATGCAAAAACAAGATTCTCCGTCACATCAAATTTGCGGTACATGCATGGAGTACTAAATATTGATGAAATCAAAAACTAATTGCATAGTTTGGTTGTACTTTACGAGACGAACATTTTGAGCCTAATTAGTCAACAATTGGATAATTATTACCAAATAAAAACAAAACGACACTGTGTATCTACAAAGGTCATACTACAGATGTTCTGCCGGCGCCCAATTCGGCGGAACTAAACGAGGCCAGTCGAGAAAAGTTACCTGCCTCGATGCTGAGCCGCCTGGGCAATTAAACAAATATTTTTGTACAAGGGCAGCACTTGAGAAAGAAAGGAAATATTTTCACTTATTAGATCCCACTTGTACTACCAGCATCGATGCAAATATTGCATCTCTGATCCGATTGTGGGCATCGATGAAACTTGGCAGGGGAATCTCTTTGGCACCGACTCTGCTGTGGCTAGTCTAAAACTGGGTGTACAAAAATACATGTTCACATATATACACGAGATTAACAAAGTCACTATAGATGTATCATTGTTCACGAGCAACATAAGCACATGGTGCTAAGTCAAGGACCCGGACTGGGTATGGTTATAAAAAATACACGGCATATATGTAATGTATAGTATAATATAAAGCAAGAATTTCATGTAGGAATACAAGTACGAATAAATCAAATAACATATCCCATAAATCTTGAATGAACATAATTTAAAGCAAGAATTTATCAAACAATTCGTATGAAAAAATTGTATTATATATATACTAGTATGTTCCTGTCGATGGACAAATCCTAAATCATGGACACATAATCGAAGAGCTGACAACTCCTCGTCACTCATCGGAGAGCTTGTCGAGCAGCATCCGCATCACCTTGACCTGCACCTGCAAGTCCTCGATGTAGGTCGCCGTGTCTTGGAACAGCTCGCCGAGCCCGCATGGCTCGCGGCAGACTGGCACCAGCCTCCGTAGCTCCCTCACCTGCTTCACCAGTCTAGAATCCTCCACCATGTCCCTCTCGCTAATCGCCGGCGGCGCCAGCGGTCGTGTCGCCTTGCTCCTGCTATCTCCTCTCATCCTCGATCGATCGTCCAGCACCTGCCTTCGCCGCCGCCGGCAGCCGGAAGGGAAGAGCGCTGAGGATGAGCTGATCGATCGAGGAGGAGGGAGTGGTCTTCTTGGACGGAACAAGGCAATAAGGCACGTCGTCACCCGGGCAAAGGCAATGAGTGCGCACGCATATATAGCTGCAATCTTTGTTGTTTACACCATGGATGGATAGGGATATGATGATCTCGAGAACATGGGAGCGCGCACAATACCCAATCATGTGTGCCGGGCGGCCGGTGCGGCTTCCAGATGCGCATGTCCGAACCGTCACCGCGAAACACACGCAACAGGGTGCGCGCGCGGCTTATTCTAATGGCGCCGTTGCTGCGGTTGGCGGGACACGGGCCGGCGATGCAAACGCAGCGCGGTGATTCTATATTGCCGCCGACGACGACGACGCACAGCCGGCGGCGCGCGCGGCTTCGCGGAAAGCCTTGCGTCGTCATGCCGATCGATCGATCGACCAAGCAATGAATAGGTAGAGCGAGCGTGCGTGCATGGGTGTGTGGTCTGTTTGGCGCTGGCGCGTTGTTGCAGCTGGGAGCGAGCACATGCAACCACATGCACGAGGCCGCCATTGACATCCAACAATCCGGAACGCCAGCTGCAACAGATGCACCCGTCGCTATTATATCGGCCGATCCCTTCTCTGTACATGTGTGTGTTGCATGAAGGCGTGCATGCATGCTTGCTATGAGATGTCGCTTGCATTGCTTTGCTTGCCTATAGCTTCCATGCCCTTTTGTCACTGCAACACCCTGGATTATTCTCTCGTCTGCACCTTTCCGTTGCCCGTAGCCATCAGCAATCTAATCTGCATATTTTAGCACGTTAGGAAGGCTTGGGAGACTCCTAATCACGCACTAATTAATTAATCAGCCCTTGCACCGTCATTCCAGCTCAATGCGCATGTGTGGTGTAGTGCATTTTCAGCCAATAGGTCCCTTAGCTTCCCTTGCACAGAGAGACGTGTGCGTGGTTGGTTAGCCGGCAAACTTAATTAATTGGCCGCGCATTATTGGATACATCGATGACACGTTCGTGCTAACCATCTGTCAAGTTGTAAATTAAGGAGGCTGATGATTAACGTTATTTTCCGATCACTAATTTATTGACTATATATTAGCAGGGGTTTGCACCGAACGAAGCTGCGTTCACACACAGATCGATGTCAATGCTGCAACACTCGGTGCTGTGTTTGTTGTTTATTTCCATACTGCACATCCATCTCTGAAGTTTCAATTAACAAATTTGCAGTGCAATTATTTTCCTTTTATTTATGTAGTTAAGTCTACCACACAATATTGGACTATACGGCGGCTAAGGCATTGTCACCCTGATAAGCAGAACTTTTGCATTGATATAGCAGGGTGATGCGAAGGATTTCAGCACCAAAAGGTTAAATAATAAACTGCATAATGCGTAAACACTTTTTAACGATGTCTTCTCTAATGAGTTACACTAATGCTGAATGCATGTTGCTCTCAGTGTGATGATATACATATATTATTCTCGCCTACGCCGTTGCAGCGCTCCAGTCCTCGCTTCCTGCCTGCTTTCGTAGGCGTCCTCATCGTCCTCTTGCTTCCGCCTCTGGAGTGGGTATCCGTCTGGACTTGGATTGAGCTCTCCTTTCGCGGGCGCGCTTGGTCTCTTTGTCGTCCGGCTGGTTTCTCGCCAGCCTCGCTGCCCGCGAGTGGCGTCGTGTCGGCGGCCCATGCCGGTGGCGGTGCGGGAACAAGGCGAGGGCGGCGCGCCTTGTCGCCGTGCGGGCTGACATGACTTGAGCCTTGAGGCGGCAGCAATGGTGGCGGCGGCGACACCACCGTGGGAGCTGGGCAGTTCGCCGTGTCTCGGGCGGAGCTGGGCAGAGCTTAGGAGGACGGCGCGCAGAGGACGAGCTGCTGGTGTTGGTTGGTGCGCTCATAGGCAAATCTGACATACGGCAGGCAGGTGAGTGTACTGTCTTGCAGGGAGCAGCACGAGCACTTGTCCGGCACGGCGGAGGCGGGTTACCATTGCTGATGTCCGGCACCTGTTCGACGGATTGCGTCAGTAGGGGAAATTGAATCCCAGGTATGTCTCGACATAAGTGCTTGACAGTGAAGTAGCGGATAGTAGTAGAAGCGTGGAGAAGAGGAGCTGTGTGCTGGTACATTGCTCATAAGCTAAACCCCTGTTCGGGAGGCCGTAAACGATCGTGGATTATTTACTGCTGGCTGGTTTGGTGTGAGAGAAAAACACTGTTCCTGGCTGGAAATTTACGATCGTTTACGAGCAAGCGAACATGCTAAGTCCACTAAGCATTGTATGTTAATGGCGGAGCAAATGGGGTTCAACAGAGGTTCGGTGGTGTCAGGGAGCCTTAAACGGCGACACTCTGCACCATATCTTTCGACCTTAGAACAGTTTGTCGGAGCTGAAAAACCATGGAGGGGATCGAGATTCTGGGCACTTGAAGATGATGACAATGGTGAGAGTGATGACGATGTTATCAAAAAGGAGGGGGAAGATCCGGATGAAGAAGCTTATAATTCTGAAAGTGAATTCATCCGTGATGCAACACGAGTCGGGTTTTCGGTAGATGATTTGATAAGAGCAGAGTCTCTGTTAACGGAGAATTTTCGGTCTCCAAAATTTGCTTCAGTTGATAGGGGGGCTGGGCATGTTATAGCCATCCCCGGCGGCTGGCATCTAGAATTACGGAGGCGGTGGCTGATCTGCGCTTCCAGAGAACCGAGAAATCGTGGAAGGGGCCGTTGCCTAAACCACGGTCCCCACAAAATGGCAGATCGGAGACATTATGGTCAAGAATCTTAGACGATCCAAATCTCTGAGGACAACAAAATCTTTAAGAGATTTGTGTTCAGAGGAGGGTGGATGCGTTAACTCTAGCCTAGGAGAAAGGAAAGGAGGGGGGACAGGATCGGCTGAGAGAAGGGGGCGGTCATTGGGCCGTCCAAAGGTGTGTGAGCTGGGTGAGCCCGCGGACAGCAAATTAATTAATGTTGGTTCACACCCGCGCTTAGACCAACTAAGGGTTTATGTCTCCTGTTTAATGCCGGGGGTGCCGAGGAGTTTGGCGGTGAGAGGGGAGAACTTAAACGCTTTGACTTAGGCTCGGAGGGTTCTTACGAGTCTCAACCAAAAACGCCCGTCTGTTGGACCTAGGGTCTGTGAGCGCAAAGCAGAGGGGGTAGCGAGCTCGGCAAGGATGGTGGGTGATTGTGACATGCGTGGGCGAGATGAGAGGATGGGCGCCTTGTTGCCGTATGGCCCTTATCATTGTGATCAGGGCGTAGCAGGCATGGGAAGAAGTTGGGGCGGGCGGGAGAGTTGGGCCTGGAGAGGTGGTGCTCAACGGGGCGATTTCAGAAGAGGGCACTCTGGAAGGTTTGGTGGTTTTGGTAGGGGACGAGCTGGGCAGTATCTTCTGCCAGGTGGAGCTGGGAGAGGTGGACCTTTGGAGCCGACGTCTAGAAGATGGGTGTGGCATGAAGATGGGCGACAGACCCATGTTCAAGGAAAAGGAGATGAGGCTGGCGAGTTTTCTGAAGCCAATGGGGGTGCTTCCGAGCTGGAGAAAGACACTGATGTGGAAATGTCATTAGTGGTTGAGGAGGGCAGGGATGGAGGCGATGCTGGTAAGGAGAGTGGGTGTTGCTCTAGGTGCTCAAAAAAGGGGCATGCATCGGCGGCTTGCAAGGTGGAGGTGTATTGTGTGTTATGCGACTCGCATGAACCACAAGTGCCCTCTTCTTAAAGCACCGAGGCCGGTGGCTTATGCGGCGGGTTATGCAGTGATGGGGCTGGGATTCTATCATATCCCGCATCCACCGTTGCCAAGGACGAAGAAAGACTCCAAGATGGCCAGAGTCTCGGTGGTGGGTGGCTCTCTGTCCGCCGACCAGCTAGTGTTGCAGCTAAGAAGGGTGGTGCCGATTAAGTAGAATTGGGAGTTGATGGAGCTTGGGGAAGACGAGTTTCTTACCCAATTCCCTTCCAAGGCTGAGCTGTTACGTTCAATAGCATATGGGGGAGCGGATGCAAAGGGGGAAGGAGTGCCTGATGGTATTAGAATGCAGTTTGAAGAGTGGCATGAAAAAGAAGAGGGCTTCCTGCTACCCAAGGTGTGGGTGAGGGTGAGATGCATCAGAAAACCATTTTGTGAGTTCCCCATCTTATGGGCAGTGGGATCTCTGTTAGATGCGACGTAGACTGTGGACATGGAGACCACGAGGAAGAATGAGTTTGGACGCATTTTAGTTGAGGTGCTTGATCCTAAGCTGATTCCGAGGATGCTAGATGTGGTGATTGGTGATCATTATTTTGACTTGGAGTTTGAAGTGGAGAAGAGGTGTTTTGATGAGAAAGGAGAGGAGGTTGATGTTGAATGGATGGCAGGGAAGGCGAGGGAGATGGAGAGGGGAAGAGCCAGGGTCCAAACAGTGACGATGGACTGAATAATGATCAAAAGAAGCTGAGAAATAACAAGCGCTATAAAGGGAGTGACGGGGAGGACAATAGGAGGGATTCCCGATCAGAGAATGATGTTCCTGTTAATGGGCATGTTCTCAGTAAGGAGGAATTTGAAGAATTCCTTAGTTGGAAGGCCAGCAAGATACTCGATGAAGTGGTGGAAGAGGTTTTGGAGGACCTAGCTGATAAAGTGGTGAAAGAGTCGGATGACTCCATGGAGGGGGCAACTGATAACCTTGGGTTGGCTAAGGTTAATTCAGAGTACGTGGATGTTGGAGGGGTTCTAATGGAAGTGGAAGGATATGCTGCAGTTCCATAGATCAAGGAGCTGGGTGAAGATGCAAAAGTTTTTACTAAAGAAGAAAGGGAGAAGAGTTGCTCGGTGATGGATGTGGTCGAACCTGCTAGTACGAAGCTCGTAGGAGCTGCATTAATCAAGGAGGTGGTCCATTCTCTGACAAGGGCGAGTCCAAGGCTTGCTGGAGTGGTGGGTGAGCACTCTCTGGTGCGGGCTGAGCGCTTAATGCAGTCCAAAAATCTAGAATGCAACAAAGGTAACTACCAGGCTGACCCTTCTTATTCTATACCCCTTTCAATTGCGATAGACAATTTGCGAGCTTTAGGATTAGGGACGGGTACTGCAAACGGGATTCCTTTGAGTGGAGTGTTCGTAACCTAGTAGAGGATGCTTTAGCTAGTGAACAGCCAGAGTTCGGTTCGGGAGAAGGAAGGAGGACTGCTTGAACGGTGAATCTGTCTCACTCTCGAGATAGTTTTGAGAAGAAAGCGTTAGAATTTTTATGTGGAGATTTAATGGAAGAAATTTTCGACGAAGATAGTTATCACCTAAGTAGTGATTTCAGGACGGTTCAACGGAAGCCTGGCGCTAAGTCGTCAAGGAATAAGGCTTCGAGGAAATTAAAGATTAAGATTAATAAGATTGGTAAAAAATGAAAGGAATTTTCTGGTATAACAGATGTTTTCGTGACTTGGCTAAAACCAAATTTCTAAGTGATACGATAAGAGAGCAAGGGCTAGACTTCATTGCTCTCTTGGAAACCGGTAAAAAAGATTTTACGCAGGCAAAGCTAGATAGGTATTGTGAGGGAAAAAATTTGTGTGGCATTGGACTGAACCACATGGAAGGTCTGGTGGAATGCTGCTAGGAGTAAATTTAGATGCCTGCGATATTGGGAGTATAGAGGAGGGAGAATTTTTTATAAAGTTCCACCTTAGGAACAGGAGTGATGACTTTCATTGGTGCTTAGTAGCGGTCTATGGAGCCGCTCACTGAATTTAAGGAACAATTCCTAACGGAATTGGTTCAGGCTTGCAGAAAAGTCTCTTCTTTTGTTGGTGGGGGGAGATTTCAACATAATAAGAAACCCAAGTGAGAAAAACAATGATAGATATGATGATCAATGATCCTTCTTGTTTAATGCTATTATAGATGGTCTGAACCTAAGGGAAATAGAAATACCTGGAAGAAAATTCACTTGGGCTAACTCCAAAAGAATACCAACTTATGAAAAGTTAGATATGGTGTTGTCTAGCACGGAATGGGAGCAAAGATTTCCTCTAGTCACGGTACATGCACTGAACAGGGAAATCTCTGATCACACCCCGCTACTTCTTTGCACCTGTGAAAAGGTATTTAGGAGAAACCAGCCTGAGTTCAAATTCGAACTTAGCTGGGTGCTCAAAAAGGATTTTTTTGAGACGGTTGCAAGAGTTTGGAAGAGTGTTGATTATGGAGATACCCCAATGAAGAAATGACAGAACAAGATTAGAAGGTTAATACTATTTTTGAGAGGTTGGGCAAAGAACGAGAATGAGAATTTTAATAAAGAGAAAGATGAATTGTTCTGGCTAGCTAGGGAACTGGATTTAAAAGTAGAGTCCTAGGTTTTAAGCCAACAAGAGCTAGACTTGAAACAAAGTGTGAATGAAAAAATCACTCAGTTACTTCGGGAAGAGAAAATAAAATGGTTCTAAAGAACTAAAACAAAAAATATGCTAGAAGGGATAATAATACCAAATACTTCCACATGGTGGCTAATGGAAAAAGAAGGAAAACAAGAATCTTTGAACTCGAACAAGAAGGGAAGTGATCAAGAGGCGGAAAACTTAAAAGTTTTTATAACAAATTATTATAAAGACTGCTTGGATCATCACAGAGAAATAATTTCTCACCGGATGAATCACAAATAAATGATATACCCCAAATAAATGAGGAAGAAAATAAGCTGCTCACAGAAATGTTCAGAGAAAGAAGTAAGAGAAGCTATTTTTCAAATGAAACATAATAAGGCATCAGGTCCTGATGGGTTTCTGGCTGAATTCTACCAAGTATTCTGGTCTCTCATAAAAGATGACTTAATGGCCATGTTTAGAGAGTTCCATGCTGGTAAATTACCTCTTTTTAACCTTAATTTGGGGACAATCACTCTAATACCGAAACAAAAAGAAGTCAAACAAGTTCAGAAATATAAGCCGATTTGCACGCTCAATGTAAGCTTCAAGATCTTTACTAAGGTCTTGGCTAACAGGCTAGTGGTGGTGGCTGATAAAGTAGTGAGACAATTGCAAACTGCTTTCATGTCAGGAAGGAACATCCTAGAAGGAGTAGTAATACTTCATGAAACTATTCATGAGCTGCATAGGAAGAAAAAGAGTGGGGTAATTCTAAAATTAGATTTTGAAAAAGCCTATGACAAAGTTAATTGTGTTTTTGTACAGCAGGCTCTTCGGATGAAGGGTTTCTCGCCAGTGTGGTGTAAATGGATTGAAGAGGTAGTGAGTCGAGGAAACATGGAGGTTAAAGGGAATGAGGAAATAGGCCATAACTTTCAGACTAGAAAAGGACTTAGGCAGGGGGATCCCCTCTCACCTATCCTTTTTAATCTGGTAGCAGACATGTTGGCTATCCTAGTGTCGAGAGCAAAAAATTGTGGACAATTTAGGGGGTTGGTACCAAGTCTAGTCGATGATGGGCTATCCATTCTACGGTACGCTGATGACACGGAACTGTTTATGGAAGATTTAGATGAGGCCAAAAATTTAAAACCTGGTGCCGGTAGCTTTTGAAAAATTGTTAGGCTTAAAAATCAATTTCCATAAGAGTGAGTTGTTTTGTTTTGGTGCGGCTAATAACCATAGTTTGGAATATAAGAGAATTTTTGGCTGTGTAGAGGGAAGCTTTCCCTTTAGATATTTTGGAATTCCAATGCACTATCGAAAGCTTTCAAATAAACACTGGTGCTCGATTGAAGAGCGCTTTCAGAAAAAGCTAAGTAGTTGGAAAGAGAAGCTTGTTTCGTCGGGAGGTAGACTAGTGTTGATCAACTCGGTTTTGTCAAGCCTACCGATGTTCATGATGTCTTTCTTTGCCATCCCGAAAGGGGTAAGGAAAAGGTTGGATTATTACCGATCCAGGTTTTTCTGGCAATGTGATGAACACAAAAGGAAATACAGGCTGGCTAAATGGAGTATCCTGTGTAAACCAAGATGTATGGGGAGAATGGGGATTTTAGATTTGGATACTCAAAATCATTGTTTACTTAGTAGATGGTTATTTAAGCTTTTTAATGAGGAGGGTTTGTGGCAAGATGTACTTAAAAGGAAGTATGTCAAGGACAAGTGTCTATCACAAAGCTTAGAAAAACGTCCGAGGGATTCTCATTTTTGGTCCAGGCTGATGGGGGTAAAAGATTTGTTGCTACAACATGGTAAGTTCAAAGTTAACAATGGTCAACAAACTAGATTTTATGCGAGGACGTGTGGATTGATCAACAACTGTTAATGCGAAGGTTTTCGAACTGCATGTAATTGTAAGGAAAAGAGGGGTATCGGAGCTAGTGTTTTAAATTCAACACCGTTGAATGTCTCATTTAAGCGGGGGATTAGGGGGACAGACTAAATGAGTGGCTAAAGCTAGTCTCTTTAGTTCTTCCGGTGAGCCTAAATAATGACAAGGACAGCTTCATTTGGCAAATAAAAAAGAATGGAGTTTTCTCCACACAGTCATTATATAGGGAATTAATGAAAAGAGAGAGGATTTCAGAGAATGAAGCGTTCTGGAAAGCAAAATTACCTTTGAAAATTAAAGTTTTCCTTTGGTATTTAAAGAAGGGGGTGATTTTAACAAAGGATAACTTGATTAAGAGAAGATGGAAAGGAGATACTAAGTGTAGCTTCTGTGGGTTAGAAGAAAATATCCAACATCTTTTCTTTGATTGCCGAATAGCTAGATCGGTTTGGAATATATTGTTCATCACCTTTAACTTTCAACCACCGAAGAGCATTACTGACATGTTCGGATCTTGGATAAGAAGATTTGCTCCTGGACTAAGAAATCAAATAATAGTGGGGATTGCAGCCATGTGTTGGGTATTATGGTTGAATAGAAATGAGCAGTATTCCAAAATCGAGTTACTAACTCTTGCTTGCAGGTACTTTTTGGATCAGGCAATGGTCCATGTTGTCTAAAGAGGAAGAGGGAAGAAAGTTGAAGGAGGGCTGCAAGCGTCTAGAAGGCTTGGCGCTGCAATTTTTTGGATGCAGTTGGTGGAGGAATCAAAAGAGAATAGAACCGTAAAGACCCCCGGTGTTCTGGTGTTTTGGGGAGCTTTGAATTTGGTTTCTATCCTGTTATCTTGTGCCGTAAGATGGCTGTGGGTAGTGAAGTCGCTGCAAGTTTGCTGATGTGGTTTCAGGTGACCTGGGATTAGTAACCTCTCTGCTTTGGGAGCTCTGAACTTGGTTTCTGTCCTATTATTGTCGGATGTAGGGGGGTTGTTAGCAGTGAAGTCATTGTAAGGTTGCTGTTAACTGTAAGGAAGATCGTCCGATCAGCGGAAATTGGGCTAAGTCCCTTTTGTAATGTCAAGCTCTAAGCATTCACTTGTGAATGTGAAGGCTGGAATACTTTGTTCCGAAATCGAAAAAAAAAAGTACCCTTGTTTGGGAGGGAGAGAGAGAGATGCATGCAGCATGTGTGCTTCCCTGGAAGAAACCGTGATCAAGTGGCTAGCAATCGTACGTTATGCTCGGCCAATGACGCCTGTACACGCGCGCGCAAGCTTGTCAATCCCTGTGTAAACAAATACACACACAAAAGATATGCATATATATAAGTACCTAGATTCTCACTAATCGCTGCTAGGATAAGGATGTGCATGCTATGGTTCATCTTCTTCTAGCTCCCTCATATAGTCATATATATAGTTTAAGAGAGATTTCTTATTTGACATTTGGGAAAATGAGTTGTTCCTTTTTTTGTCTGAAATTTTCTTCGTTTCCTATTTGACACTCACTTTAACTTTCATCCATAATTTGACACTACCGTCAAATCCGTTGAGTTAATTGGTACATTTAAAAAGACGTTTTGTCCCTAGAAAAAAAGCGCGAAAGCAAATTTGAGAAAAAAAAACTGCGCTTTTTTTTTGCAAATGGGCGCATGCATCGGGGCGGCACAGTTTTTTTTTTTCTCAAATTTGCTTCACCGCTTTTTTTTTTCTAGGGCAAAACGCCTTTTTAATGTACCAGCTAACAATCAAGTTAGCTAACGGATTTGACGGTAGTGTCAAATTAGGATGAAAGTTGAAGTGAGTGTCAAATAGGAAACAAAAAATTTTAGGACCAAGAAAAAAACAACTCATTTTTTCAGTGTCAAATAAG